GTATAGATGGATCTGGAGATCTGTGAGGGAGAGAAAACATGGGGAATAAAAACACATTTGAAGAAATACTGAATGAAAATTATCCATGAAGAAAAGTATATATCTGATAGTTAAATAATTTAAAATCAGTGTCAGCATCTCAGTCACTTTATCATTGCTGTGCCACCCCCACTTAAGGGAGAAATGGTTTCTTTTGGCTCACAGTTCGTAGCGGTTTCAGTGTAGCTGGCTGGCTCCTGGCATAGCACATGCGCTCGGAGCTGGTGAGCTGCTCAAAGCACAGTGTCCAGGAAGGGGAGAGCTAAGGGAGGGGCAGGAGAAGGAGGTGGACCCGTCCAGGCCACGCCCCCAGTGACCACCTCCCCCCACCAGGCTCCACCCCCTTAGCCATGGACACCTCAGTGGTCTCACCCACTCATGGGTATCACGGCCCCATGATCCAGTCACCTCCCCAAAGCCCCACCTATGAGCGCATGCGGCTTTGCGGGGAGCGGGCTTCTAGACATAAACCATAACAAATGGAAGGTCTTAAAAGTACCCACAGGGAAAAATACCTATATGGGAGTAAAAATTAAGATGACAACATAGTTCTTGTCAAAAACAATGAAAAGCGGAGAAGAGATGAGCAATATATTTAAAATACTGGGAGGAAAATACATTATCAACCCCAAATTCTACACTCAGTGAAAATATATTTCAAAACATAAATGAAATAAAGTATTTTTCAGAATTAAATACCAGCAGATGTGTATTATAAGAAATGTTAAAGGAAGTTCCCAGGCAGACAGAAAATGACACCAGATAGAAATCTAGATCTACACAAGTCAGTGATCAGCACCGGAAATTGCAACTATGTGGGTAAGTATAAAGATGATTTCCTTATTGTGCCAATGCATTTAAAAGATAAGTGTTTAAAGTAAGAGTGATAACAGTGCATGGTGAAGCTCATAATATATAGCATTAAATTGTGAACTAAGAACTGATAAAAAACTAACACGGCAGAAATGAAGATAAATGTTTGGTTTTCATGTGTCTATTTCTATTTCCAATGGATACGGCCAGGTTTTTGCCTTTTTATAGCTAAGGTCCTAGCTCAGTAACTTGTGGAGCCTGTGCATACCCAACATTTATCTGCAGTTTTTTTTTTATTGGATGTGGTCTTATTATGCTTCCCAGGCTGGCCCTGAATGCTTAGGCTCAAGTGATCCTGCTTCAGCCTCCTGAGTAGCTGGTCCACGACAGCCAGTTGTTTTAGGTGTTTATCTAACCTTCTTCACTTATTGTGTGAACACGGTATGACTTGAGGGGATTCTGTGAATCCAGACCAAAATTATTCTCTGGCCTCTGTTGAGGAAGGAATTCACACAGGAATCTCTTTATCTTGTGTTCTTTATGGGAACTAAGAACACATCTTTAATAGGTTGCATTATTTTTCTTTTGTCACTGTGACAAGCTACCCCAAAATTTCTGATTTAAAACAGCACAAGCTAGGCATGGTGGCACGTGCCTGTAATCCCAGTACTTGGGAGGTTGAGGCAGGAGGATCACTGTGAGTTCGAGGTCATCCTGGGCTACATAGTCAGTTCAAGGCCAGCCTGGACTACAGAGTGAGAGCCTCAAAAAACCAAAACAATCGAAGAACAACAAAAAAAGAAGATTTTGGCTGGGTGTGGTGGCGCATGCCTGTAATCCCAGCATTCAGGAGGCTGAAGCAGGAGGATTGCTGTGAGTTCGAGACCAGCCTAGGCTACCAAGTGAGTTCAAGGCCAACCTCAACTGCATAGTGAAACCCTGTCTCAAAAAGAAAAAGAAAGCAGGATTGTTTTTTACATTTAACTGATATATAAAACTGATTTTATATATTTCTGGAGTATCATGTATTGATACATCTGTACATTGTGTGGTGTTTAAATCAGAATAAACATATTTATTTCCACAAACATTTATTATGTCTTTATGGGTAAAAACATTCAAAATCTTTCTTCAGTGTTTTGCTTCATAAAATATTATTAACTATATTCACCTTCAGAATTTATTTTCCCTATCCAGCTTACTACCTGTTGACAAACTTCTCATCTCTCTCATCTTCTATTACTCTGTCCAGCCTCTGGAATCCACCATTATGCTCTCAGCTGCTGTGAGAGATTACTGGGTGATACGGGAGGACTATGTTTAATTTTTTAGGAACCTCAATAGTATTTTCCACAATGGTTGTATTAGTTTACATTTCCACTAGCAGTACTCCAGGTTTTCTTTTTCTCTACATCCTAGCCAGTACATTAAGACAGTGCAAATTTATTCTCTTAAAATTGTAGGAGTCAAAAGGAGTCCTATAGTATTACAATTGGCAGCACTAGGGCTAGGGATGGAGCTCAGCGGTGGAATCCTTGCCTAGCAGATGTGAAGCCTGGGTTCCACTGCCAGCACCAAAAAAATGAAACAAAACACGAACCTTCACTACATCTACAAAATCTTTTTTGCCATCTAGGGTCACATTCACAGGTCCGAGGGGTGAGAGTGCGGGTGTGTTTGAGGTCACCAGTAGGTTCCCCTTGCTGATTCTGAGAAGACTGGTTTGCCTTGACAGTCTCTGAAGTCTTAAGTGCCTACACAGTGACACACGCTTTTAAATCCTGCACTGTCCCATCTGATGTGAAGAGGATCATGTGAAAGTGAGCAGAGAGGGGTCAACTACTTCTGCCACAGCGGTTTCCTGCACTTCCCTTTGCAAAACACTCTGACTGCTCAGAACGGGGTTTTCTCCTCCCACTGGGTGCAGGCCGGAAGCCTTAACCTGTGGCTCTCTGTTCCCCTCCACAGGACCGCTCCGACCCCAGCACCTGCACAGGTGCGTCTGTCACCCTGAAAGCCCGCGTCTTCTGACAAGCAGGCGCCAGACAGGAGGCAGGAAAGGCGGCAGATGACCTTTCCTCTTCCCACCTGAGTCAGTATGCCTGTGAAGGAACCACTTCTCACCTCCGAGGAGGACTGCATGGTCTCTAGAAATTTGGCTTCGGGAAATGGTTGTTCCGCGTCTACCACTGATGAGGGAGCGTTAGGTGCTGACCCCAAAAGGAGCTTATCCGTGTGTTTATGTGCTCGCTTTGCAGCTGCCAATAAGCAACACCTTAAATCCTATGCGAATATTGGAGTAGGCTCAGACATCTTCCCTCCACCCTCAGGGTTATAACCCAAAGCCAGAACCAGAGGATTGGCAGCCAAGTCAAAGACTACTCAAGTGCCCTGGGAAAACAAAGAAGGTGATGATTCTCAGGTAGGGATGCCCAGGTGTCTAAACTCACAGTCCCGAGTGCACGTCTCTGACCAAGGGCCATGGCTATCAAAGGGAGAGAGGGTAAGCTGGGGACAGCCAGGAACTCTCGAGGCAAGGGTCACGGGGAGGCCAGGGAATGCTGTGTCCTCAGGAGGGGGCAGCAGCTAAGTGCTGAGCATCAAGCCAGGCGCCAGAGCTGGAAGGGACGGCACATGGGGGATCCCAGGGAAGGGGATGCACAGCAGGAAAGTGCTGGCAGGGGACAGAAATGCCCCCAGCTGGGCATAGGCCAGCTGGCAAGGAAGCCACCTCAGACTCCCCCACTCGTGTACGATTCCGGCATCTGTAAGACGGCATGCCCGGGGCCTCCCCAGACCTCTTTTCTTGGTTATGAGAGACACTATCCTGTGCTTAGAAATGATTTGTAAGTCAGAAGTTGGAGCAGTGGG